TTAGATAAGCATACTTCTGCAAAAACAATGAAATTTTCCAGCACAGTCAGTGATTCTACGTATTTGAGGGTGCACTGCGGCTACCTGGAATATTTTGATGGGTTGGAATTCATGGCCCGAACAATTCAGTTGTTTTGACAAATGCTGCATCGTCTAGTGGTCAAAATTCTGGCCACTAAAGTGTTTGTTTCGCCTCGCTGAGGTGAGCGGGGGGGAGAGAGGACTAAAAACAAGATGGCTCATCTAAGAGAAGCATTTGGCAAGGCTTTAGTCGTTTTCTTGGTGCCAAGCTTCATCAACTCGTCCCAAGCAGTGCCACTATCACTCTCTGATAATCTACTGACCCAAGTATCAATTGAGCCATAGCTCCCCACATATTTCATTCTCCAGGAACAGCTGAAGGTGCCCAAAAACACATAATATGCTCGATACTGATCACCTGTTGGTAAAGGTACCACAACAGTCCCTATATTTAAAATTTATTTAGGACCAAGCTGAGGACACTTTTGAATTTCTGAATATGTCAGCAAAAATTTACCGCTGCAAAAAAAAAAAAAAACAAAACGAAGATGCTTTGATTTTCTAATTGAAAAATTAAATCATCAGTTTTCACCAAAATAATAATGTCAAAAAGAAATACATTAAGTCTTTAGGCAAACAAAGTTCCAACAGCTGCTCTTTCACAAAACAAAAAATAGTTATAATTTATACACACAACAAACCTCTTCAAATTCGTCATATTCATAAAATGGAGGATTACACATGCAAAAAGTGAAATCAGCATCCGGACGGGAACGAACAATCTCCTGAAATGCATTGAGTAACGACTGCTTTAAAAAGTGCCGGGAATTTAGAGGAAAAACCCAGAAAATATTTAATCAGCATATATTACTGAAGCTAAATCTGTCATCTCCGCAACTACATTCTTAAGGCAAAAGAATTAAATACGACTGAATAGACTTAAAAAAAACCCTGCTTAACTGGTTATTTTATCAAATTTGGTAATCAAAATTTTCCCAAAGTAACAATTAAAAAAATTTTTCTTCTAAGTCTTAATTACATTTTAAAATAATTATTTGACTTAAAAACAGAAATTCGCGGTATTTCAAACATCAATGGAGCGGTGGATGGTTGGCGCCAACAGGCTGCAGCATATTCCAAATTATTTATTTTAAAAAAAAGTGTTAGATATCTACTGAACAGGCTCGATGCTGATACCCAACTGTGCCACAAAAAATGCGATGGTTACCTTGATCATACTATCCGCATTTACTCGAACAACTTCAATTCTTTCGCTTAAATTATTCCGCTGTACATTTGCAGTTGCAACCTGAAATAACTGCCTGTTAAACAAATTTGTCCAAGCAATCAGTAGGCGAGACTGAAGAGGGGTTCAGCCTTTTCGAGCCGAAACAGCGAGGAAATCGATGGCAAACATTAAATTACTCCTATAACTTAAAGGCTTCCTCGAAGGGAGACGGATGGAAAGAAGTACAGTGGTAATGAAATACTAAAAAATGCGGAGGTGAAGCGAAAAAACCATCTGCTGGAAAAATATCTGGATCTGAAAAGATGCAGGACGAAGAAAGACTATCAGACTGTATCGAACGTAGAAAAAATGAACAAAATCGACAAAACAGGAAAAAAAACAACAAATCTATTACTACACAGGCAAAAAAAAAAAAAAATATCAGCATTTTTCAGCAAAAAAAAAAGCGAAAAAGACGAATAGGGGAACAAAATAACAGTACAAGGCTAGCAGTAAAACCATAAAGTTTAGCTCCAAAAAACCGCAAAAACATTGCAAAATGCGTCGATGTCGTTACGACAGTTTATCAGATTTGATGCCGAAAAATGATAAAAAGTGAAATGAAAAGCTGACCTGAACAGCTGATGGATCGGCATCAGTTGCTAAAAATCTCCAGCCACACTGCCTTGCACCCAGTAACGCATATACACATGATGCACCTGTTCCTGAAAAATTATCCGTTTTAGTGACATTCTGTTTTTAATAAAAATTGCCGAATTTCAAAGAATAAGAACAAAAAACACATTTTCCGCCCAGCTTTTTGATTTAAGCTTTATGTATTTTAATTTTCTAAGCCCAAATCCTTTCCAGTTCAACTTTTCTGTATTAATTTAGGGTTAAAGGAAAAATGTGAGAAAAAAAAAGATGAAAAACATGAAAGGGATTACTAAAGTAGGTAAGAAATATTTCTTCGACTCATTTCCGCTAGAATGAATCTTTTTCACTTTTCCCTTGAAAAAAAAAAAAGAAAAAAAACAAACAATTGTGCCATCCCCGATGTGTTAAAAGAATAGTGAAAGAGATCCATTCGCGGTATGAAGTGGTGCGAATGCAGAAATCATAAGATTACAGTGGAAAGAAAAGTACGACGAATTAACAGTATAGGCGGATTCGATGGGCGTTTCACCTCTCCCCCTCCCCTTTCCTTCCCGCGGCACGGGTACCAGTGCTGTAAAAATCTAATTCTAAAGCTAAAACTGAAGAAAACTCTCTTCCATACAAGCGTCGCCTCCCTCCACCCCTCCGCCTTCCCTGCACAGGAGGCCGTCCTAAATCCGCCTACGATTAACAATTCTCGATATTCCAGTTAAGCCGATTGTAGCATCCAGGTTGACGCTGGAAGTCGGAGTGTCGAAGGGGCGAGTTAAATTTTGTTCAGCTTAACCGTAGCTCGTTGAGCGCAGGTAAACGTCAAACTCAGCAAT